TTTTTTTTTTGGGGGGGGGGGGGGTCCTTATTTTAATTGTAGTACAATGGGCCAAAAAAACCTTGTTCTAATTGTTATAAGGCCTTTATGTTAATTGCAAGGCTTAAGCTATTTTGGGGGGCTCCTTATTATAGTTATAGCACAATGGGCCCCAAAACCCTACTCTAAGTATTGAGGCCTCCATGGGGGTTTCCGAAAATAGGGGACCCTGATCTAGTACCCTAAATAATAGGATCCTCATTATAAGGACCCCAAAATAAGGTACCCCTTATTGTCGGAAACTCCCCTATGTCACTTGCAAGACTTACGCTCCCGGCTCGCTGCTTTTCAGGAGATGACGCAGGCGCTCAAGGAGCTCGAGGATGATTCTGACATCTATGTGCCCCGGGTTCAGGGAGGTTTAGGGATGCTTAGGTGGGTTTAGGGTTTAGGGGTTTAGGGTTTAGGGTTTAAGGTTTAGGGTTTAGGGTTTAGGTTTTAGGGTTTAGGGGTTTAGGGTTTAGGGTTTAGGGTTTAGGGTTGCTTAGGTGGGTTTAGGGTTTAGGTTTTAGGGTTTAGGGTTTAGGGGTTTAGGGGTTTAGGGGTTTAGGGTTTAGGAGTTTAGGGGTTTAGGGTTTAGGGTTTAGGGATGCTTAGGTGGGTAGTATTATTAAGGGTAGCCCTTAAAGGGTACCCCTCCTGAACCCTACTTTTGGCTCTCTTAAAAAGGACCTTATTGAGAGGGTCTATATCCCAAGGGTCCCCCGAATCCTAGCTCCCATTAGAGTTTTGGGGTAAAGGGTTCTAGGGGTTAGGGTGAAGTTCTGGGTTAGGGTTAAGTTCCGGCCAGACTTGAGCCCAGTGGCAAAAAAGGAATGATTAGGGTTTATCTCTAAGGATCTCCGAGGAGCGCAGTTAGAAGGGTTTAGGGTTTAGGGTTTAGGGTTAGAGGTATACCATGACTTGCTTATACAGTGGATCGTATTTACTGTCCCTTGAACTTAAACTCTGATACAAACCTTATAGTATCCGATACCTAGTAACTTGCTACATAGGCAACTGGGCTCCGAAGGGTTTTCTTACAGGAGTTCAATAGCAGGGCCTCAGGGAGTTGCGTTCTGTTTTTGCAAGGTTTGTACGGCTTAAGGCTACCCGGAGAGCATGCGAAATGGTTCCCAATGCCACTTCATTCCTATTTTTGATCATGCACGCAACTTAGATATCAGACATAGTTGCGGCTCAGTGTAGCGAGTTCAGGGTCGTAGCATCTTCCAAAACCTAGTTTCTTCTACGCAAGCTTCTACTAGTCTGCGCAACATGAAACGACCTGCCCAAGGGGTTGTTTCCTAAGCACCCAACCCAAGCCGCACAAGCCAACCCTGAACCCATGGCCCCATAAGACCACAAGCTCTAGACCCGGGTACCCTAAGCCCCATGAGCCTGACAAGCCCTAAACCCGAAACCAAAGCCAACCCATGAAGCCATACAGTTTGCAAGCCTTTATTGGAGGGCTTTAGGGTGCGGGGGTAAGAACTATAGGTTTTAGTGTTCTATTTAAGAGGGTTCAGGGTTTCGAGCTTCATTCGTTGGGCTTCAGGAGGAGTTCACAGCTTTACGGGTTCTACCTTGTAAAACCCTAGAGCCCTAGAGGGTTTAGGGCTAATTATATTTTGTGTACACCCCCGAGGGGTTTCGGCTGAAGGTGAATGCCATGGCCATCGAGGAGGCACTGTACAGCTCGCTTGAGGTTGCCCAGGACCGAGGTGCATGACAGCTTCTACGGTGTCCTCATTGTACAAAGGGCCCACGCCATTCGGAGTCTCTCGTAAAGTTAGGGATACCCTATTTGTCAATTCTTTGCAACCAGGATCCTGCAACATAAGGCCAATGCAGGGTTTGTGTATTACGGTCCCGATGCTCTAAAACCTTTTCGTGCAATGTAAGAAGTGGGCTTGTCATCCCAAAGTTTTGAAGGCGTCATAGGGCCTGAAGTTTCGCTTGCACCAAACGGCAATTCGACATGGTGGAGATGAAGCACCTCGGAATGGGTCGGCTTGCAGAAGAACGGCGAGTCGTAAACAAAAGCAAGCCCCCAAATCTCGATACGCTAGACGCAAAAGCTTAAACCCTAAACTCGAAAAGGGCCTGAAACAAAGGATGCATGTAACACCTATCCCACGACCCCGAACCTTCACCTCTGAGCCCCAGAACACTGTGAGGGCTCTAACAGATCAGACTTTTTGGTTCAGGGGGTGAAGTGCGAGCTTCAGAAAATAGTAACCGACCCTGATATTCGCCCCAGATAGATCCAAACAGAAGGGGTCTCAATATCTGAAGCCCTATCTTTGAGTCCCTCTGCTGAAGGAACGCCGTCCGCAAGTCCCCGCTTTCATCCCTGATTTCATCCTAGGTGTCCTGCGGTAGTCGTGTGACTTTTGGGTCAATATGACCCCCAAATGAGGGTTGAGAATAGCCCCAAGCTGCTTGCGGAAGTACGGGACCGTAGAACAGAGACAGGCAAGTTCAACCCAAAACCTGATCTGATAGTTCATCATTTCATGAACGTATAACGCTACGAACTTTCGTAGTGTCGGGGTATGGGTGTTGTCGGTATTGTGCACCTCTCTGGCTAGGAGAAGGAGGTCCCAAGCGAGATGGGCACGAGCTGCCCGAAGCCAGACACCAAGCCGGCCATCTACCTTCTGCTAAGGAGCCTGCCCCCAGGCCGCATTAACGGGTCAACAAAACCCCCGACCCTCTTTCTTGCCGGAGATCTATACTGTAAGAAGCTAAATCATTGTCACTCGCAAAAAAAAACATGCAGGTTTTGCTAAAATTCAGGAATTTTGCTACAGGGGTTTATGGGGGTAGTGGCTCGTTTTTGGAGGCCGGGCGAGGGCCTTCTGAGATGCGCCATTTCGGCTGTGCCTTGCGGCCTGCAGAAGCATCCTGCAAGGCTTGAGCTTCGGTTTTAGGGTTTAGGGTTCTAGGGTTTAGGATTTAGGGTTTAGGGTTTAGGGGAACTTCGGTTTTGGGGTTTAAGGTTTTACCTATAGTCTCCATTGTAGTTCCTTTTTGGGGATACCTTATAAAATCCTTAATAATAATTGGTTAAACCCCTAAAAAGGAGCTACAATGGAGACTATAGGTAGGGTCCATCCATGCATGCATGAAAATGCAGTCACGTATGCATGCGTTCCCTAGTGCCACGAGTTACGGTTCTTGACCCGGTACCAGGTATGAGCATAAAGTTTGGATGTGTGTAGCTGTATATCTGTAGGAAAAGACTGTATGTCTGCATGTCCGCATGCATGCATGTATGTAAGTGAGTATGTATGTATGTATGTATGTATGTATGTATGTATGTACGTACATGTGTATGTAGTGTTTGCATGTCAGCATTTATGCATGCTGGCAGGGCATGCATATCGATTTGCACCAGGGCATCAAAGCAATAGCTGGCCCCAAGCCCTACATGCATGTACATGCTAGATCTACATAAGATTGCGCAATCCTTAGGGCCTGAGAGAACTGACACCCGAGGCTGCTGAACTTCAGCGACTGAGCTGAAGTCAAGTTTGCAAACTCAAGTTTGCAGCCTTCTTCAAGGGATACAGCAGTTGGTTTTGGCTTTGCGTTTAGGCTTTGTGTGTTCTTTGGGGCTCGGGTCGTTGCTCTTTGCTACTATTTGTGGTCGTCTTGTCTTGTCTCGCTGTTCACACGCAGTTTGACTGTTTCGCTTGTCAATAGCAGCAATATGCAAGCTTCAGCCACGAGAGGAGTCGAGTGTTGATAGATCCTAGATCATTGAAGCCGCCTCACTTGGTATGGGCAGCTAAATAAGTTACTCGAGTTCCACGAAATGTGGGGTTCTTCCCACTAGTAGCAGCATGTTCGAGCCTTCAAACATAAAGCACGCACTCCGCTTGAGACTTTCCTGTGGATCCTTTGTTTTTAACTGTTTGACCACCAGTACCGCAACCCGGGAGAAGCCTAAAGCTATATCGCCTTCACATTTTTGTTCAGCCGGAGACGGCCGGGTCAAGAGTATTGAAACGATTCTACAAAGCCATGGCTGCATAACTTGGCGCATTGAAGCCGGCAAGACTCCGTTGCCTGCGACGTGTAGGTCGACCACGCAACATTCCAGGAAGCACGTAAAACCGATGAAGCATCAGCATCGTCATCCCAATCATCATCACCATCTCGTTGTTGGCGCATGCATCTACTGGTAGCTCCATGTCATGTATGGTCAATGCTACTCCTGATACTTCGCTGCAGGCAGCATTTCCAGAAATGCAGCAGCAACAACAACACCGCCACCACCACCGCCACCACCGCCACCACCAGCACCACCAGCAGCAACAGCACCAGCACCACCAACGCCACCGCCACCGCCACCGCCACCACCAGCAGCACCACCAGCACCAGCAGCAGCGGCAACAACAACAACAACAACAACGTTCAAACGATACTGCTTTGTAAGCAGAGGACAGCTTGAACATGATGCAGTGCTGCTAAAGCTAAAGAAGCATTGCTTGTTTCATCTTTCTTGCTGTTATGACTTGTGTCACTGCCACGGTCGTGCTCGCGACCCCCGCAAAGCTTAAACCCTAAACCCTGAACCCTGAACCCTAATTCCCCTTTAACACTCTGTGAACGACCTTCAGGCGAAGCCTGGTTCCAGGACACTTCAGGGATGCATAGGTTCAGGCTAGGGGTGCAGATATTGGGAGAAGTTTAGAGCTTTACGGTCTCGACCCCGTGCTGACAAGGTATACCTTTCTGTGAGTTCATGCAAGAGGGCTGCGGCACTTTACTGGACGGCCTTATCGTTGTCATGGGCTCTAGGTTTCTCGCCGAGCAGTGTGGCCACACGAAATATGGGATTCCTGGGTTCGTTGAAATGAGAAATGATTGAGGCTCGCGCTTGGCGTGCAAGCATGTCTTCCCGCATCCTAGTTACATGACAGCATATTCTGCATATCCAGTCCCCGTGTCCCATTATCAATACAGAAAGGACTGTTGCGTGGGATGGAAACTTTTGGTTTGCACCTGTTCGAGATGTTCGTTTATATAGCTTCAGGGCTAGTTTCGGGACTTGTTCCTTTCTGCCAACAGT